ATCCTAACAGTCAGCCATTCTTAAGGATTGTAAGTTTATGACACTTGGAGCAAGTAAACATTGCAAAGTGCAGGGTGTAATCTACAGTCTGTGACTGAGTGAGGTATTAATTCTAAGTGTAATTTCAATTCCCCTTACAACCTCGTGGTATCCTATTGAGTCACTGCAGCTTGTGCTGTAGTGTTAACAGATTCCTGTTTTCTTTTAGTTGGACGCTATGAGAGGTCTCCGCAATCACGAGAAGCAACCCATGTGTGGCAACTTCAGGCCACCTAAGCCAATAAACGGACGTACAGTGTCAGAATTCTCCGGATAGGCTCGGCTGATCACAACCACTCGGGACTACATCGAAGTTACTATAAATGTTATGTAGTGGTAAACTGTTAGGGTATCATCGCGTAAAGCGTGTAAAAGTTTAATTTAACACAATGTGTAGTGAAATAAAAAACTAAAATGAGGTTGTTCATGACAAATTTACCAAGTAGATAGATAGATTACTAGTTTAATTCTTATAATTATCGTGCATAGTCAGCAAGTGCGGCAAAAAGAAGTTGAAACCTGGAAAGAGTTGCTTGCTGTTATCCTTTATTAACTGAAAAAAAGTGAACCCTGTCAATCACTACGGATCTGTAGATCACTGTGGGAAGTAGGGTTGGCGCAGTGGTAAGAGCGTTCGCCTTCCACCAATGTGGCCCGATGTGCGAATCCTGAACCCGGCAACATAAGTGGGTTGAGTTTGTCGTTGGTTCTCGCCTTGCTCCGAGGGATTTGCTCCGGGTTCTCCGGTTTTCCTTCCTCCACAAAAAAAACAACTCTTCTAAATTCCAATTCGATCTGGAAACAGTGGACGAAGAGCGTCTATTCCTATTATTTGTTTATTTATTTATTTATTTATTTATTTATTTATTGTATTCATTGACCTTCTTGACATGCCTTGAATTTGTTTCGTGTAAAAAATAATCCAAGCTGTGAACACGATACTGTTGCTACAAGGGAAAAGACTTTCTAAAACTTTCGAAATTAATGATAAGTGAATTAATACTCGGGCTTTTACAGCGCAGTTTCAGTGTTTTCAAGAGAAGGAACATTAGACAGTAGTCATACTGAACAAACATCGATTAATATTGAAGTTATTATTAAACTAAAAAGTAGGAGAACGAATAGGTCGTTACGAAATCATATCAGTTAAATTTAATCAGAAATCTTTACACTTGCATTTACTTTTTGCTCTTTTTGACAATGATACATGAAAGGCAACCTGGGCAAAGAAATCAAGCAAAGACAAAACTACGGAATTAACAAATAGAGACCGAACGACCTTCCATAAAATAGTGAGGCCGCCGCCGTTCGCATTCTGGATAGCGTCGCTTCTGTTGTTCTTCTTGTTGAGGAACCTCCACGTGGTTATCGTCGTCATCATCGAATTCGCTTTACTGATCTTGTTGTTCTGAAGGAATCAGGCCATCATAGGGATTGAAATTGGAGATGTGGCGAATGGGTATCACTCCTCCCTCCTCTGCAGAGACTTGGGTTCCCTTTATGGAAATCTCGCGATACGGGGCTGGGTTTAAGCGAATGGAGAACTTGTTACGCTTTTTTCGTTTCATTTACACCATCCGGCCAACTACAAGAGTGGGTGTTTGTGAGCGACATGTGCGATTAGCATACTCTTTATTCTTAGAATTCCTGGGTTGATCTAAATAGGCAGCTTTATTTCACGAGTTGAAGTTTTGACTTCCATATCAACATCACTGAATTCGCGGCTTTTTGCTAGGTGACGTAAACGGATGTGAAAGTGACCCAGAGTCTCGTCGTCTCGTTGTTTGCCTTGTCTAAACAGTTATGTTTCGAACATTATATAGTTTTTGGGCGAAAACGGCGTAGTCAGTTTGTTAACGGCGAGGTGTAAAATTCTTTGTATACCCTTGTGCCAGGTAGCGTGTCGAAAGCTTACAAAAATTGAAAGATGAAAATCTGGAGACTTGGGCTCGTGTATCAAACAAGACAATTGGAGTAAGAGAGCTCGATGGGGTGTGGGGTCTTCCATATTCATAGCTACGTTAAGAAGGCGAAGCTGTTTTATTCAGTCGTACCATCCATCTCTGGCTGAGCGAGGAGACACCTGTATGCGGATCAAAACGAGAGATTGCAACAAAATTGATGCCTGTAGCCATCCTCGTCGTCATGTTGTATCTTTAAAATTTTACTATAAGCTGATGTATCTTGTTTTTAATTCAACAGATATTTTCAAACGATTTTTACGTAAGTCCCTTCTCGAAGAGTGTCTATGGATGCCCCCTAGACCCATCTTCAAAATAAATTAAAAATAACAAAATTAAAATGTTTAGAGAAAGCTACATCAACCGTAACTGGTTTTCATGGGGGTCATCTTGCCAGATCAAGTGGGTCGAAAGGCAAAACAACATGGGTAAAATGTAGAGGCGATAGTCCACAGAATCAGCAAACACCAACACCGGAATCACCAAACCTGGAGCTACACCGGGTTGTCTCCTGATAAGAAGATAGAGAAAGTGCACGGGTTCTTAGAATCGTTCAAAATCCCTTGACAAAGCTCGTAGTTGAAACCACAACTTCACCAGCGAATCATCACCATTCTTGAGAAGGTTTCGTTGAAGCTCATAATCAGCTCTGCATTCGGGATGACCATGGAAACCATATCGAAACGAGTTGAAGCTGATACGCTCTCCCAAGAGAGACAAACCGCGACTTGTCAGAGCAAGTCAGCCATTCGCAAGTCAGAAAACATTTGACAACGACTTCGCTATCTTTCATATGTATAAGACTTGCCTAGTACTGAATTACCCAGAATTTTTACACCTTTGCATGTTTGAACTCAGCAAACTCGTGAATGACCTTTACAGCAAGATAAAGGCCCAACACTTCCCCAAGGAACAGTCGCTTCACAAAATGCCCCATAACGTTTTGTTTTATAGAACCTAAAATGTGCGACAACACGATCCCAAATGGGTTCTTTACCTACATAGATAGTTACATATATTCTTGTTATGTCGAAGGAAAAATAAGTGGCAGTACACTTGCTTATCGTTTTGTTGGATGCTACCAAACTTACGCACATTCGCTTTAATAGAAGTGCACCGACTACGATAAATAAATGGACAAACAAGAAAGTAGGTTGCAGTCGAACATAATTCTTGTCACAGCCTCTGTGAACATGTGTCATTTTCTTGCATTACTTGATGAGCCGAAATATCCATGTCTAAAACAGAATAAAAACAATTCAATACTTTATTTAACGTGGAACATACGCTTAGTTATATGGTTTAGTTAAAACAACTCTGCACCAGCTTCTTTACAGATATGTCACGAAATATTAGAAAAATGAACAAGTAATAGAAAAATATTTAAACTTATTTACAGTTTAAAATAAAGGTATCACACAAATAAAATCAAAAAATCTCTCCTAACAATGCATTTCTTATATACTGCTTATAAATGTTTAACAGAATGCTAAGTAAAAATTCTCTTCGGAGGTCTTTTGAAAAAATAAAACGTAGAATGTTAAAGAATGTTACTGAAATGACCTTTTTTCAGTGTAATTTCTTATTCTTAACGAGAACGTCTTCAATCGGAAAAAACATTGCCTAAGGATGAACGTCCACACTTATATACTTCCTTCATGTCTCTTTGCTTTTGCTGAATATCGGCTTCAAACTAATAACCTCGCAAACTGATACAAGTTAAGTAGGTCATGTCAAGAGATTCAAACGAGTTTCTTATCGACACTTTATGCAGTCCTATGCAAGCACGGCTATTGCTCTGATATCTGTTTTCGATAAAGAAACCGAATTGAAACAGCTTGCTTTCAAGATTTACACAAAGGTTTTGTAATTTTAAAACAGGGATATCAACTCACTGAAAGTGTCATTTTCTTGCGGTATTTTCTAAGACACGAAGAAGAGTGTCAGTAAACATGATCCTGAACGTCAGCCTATCAAATTATTCCGTACTGCTAAAGTTTGAACTAATCGAGTTTAAAACAAACAGATGGTGGTTATAAGCAAATGTTACCTGATTTTCAGTCATTTCCAAGGGTAAGAGTTTCATAGGTAAGTGTCCCTTTATGATTGTTTTACGCGCTGAATATCGGACAATGTTTTCCACTGTAGTAGAGTACTTATAAGGTAGTGGCAAAATTATGTCGCACGTTACGAATCTGATGGCATTTGTTTATTCATTTATGTGATGGGTAACGAACAAGATAAATTGATGGACTGAAAGACGTCTTATTGCAACATTAATTTTGAACATTAAGAACTAAGCAAGAAAATCAGGCTTGACCCAAAATATACAAATTTTTGAAAGATGGATGCGCACAAAAATATTGACATGGGAGGGGTGTCCTAGAGCCATTACAACTCCAGTCCAGTATCTTGAAAATTCTTGTGGAATATTGGGTTAAGTGTGGTAGTGTCTAAGTAGAAGGGTTCTTTAACTACATGATATCAGAGGTGTAGCTCGGGAAACCCTACATATTATTTGGGATAACGCTTAACAAAGATATAGTAGCCTCGTGCTCCACTCACAGGAGTGAAGAGGATGAGTGAGTGAGTTTACAAAGATCACATATCTATGAAAAAGCAAAGTTAGATAAGGCTTTTAGCAAGTTGAAAGGACAGAAAATTAGAACAGCAAGGGTAGCTGCACTTAATATCGGGCGTTCAGACACCTAGAGTGGTCTTGTACACCTTCCCTGTAGTTGATACTTGGTGACAAGTACAGGAAAAGGCAAAAATAATGAAATAATATGCCGGCCGGGTTTATTGAGAAACTTTAAGTTAAGTTTCATCCTTTGTCATAATCAGATTTGGAGCAGCTGGTAGTAGTCAATGTAAAGAGACAAAGTCCTAAACGACTCATTTTTCTTCTTGGACAGTGAAAGGCCTTGGTCTACTTAACTTAAAAAAAACAGAACGAGATGGGAAAGAAACGTTTAGATGATTTACATCTTAGTTGGAGGGTTTGGAACTCCAAACTAGATACATTACTTAAAAATATCTCTGCTACATTATATTATCTCAGTTCTATGAACTTTACATTTAATTCGTTCACTATATAATCACTTCAGTTACAAAAAGAAAATAAAGGTTTGGAAAGCGTGAAATGATGTTTCGCACCTAAATATAGTAAACTGCAACGAGTAAAAAAATCCCCTCCACCGCTGGTTAAACATTCAAAATGAACTCACGGGAGATTGCCAATCACTTAATTGTTTCGTGACGAACATTTGTTTTCTTGGGATGTTTCACCTGGTAACGCAGACTTACCCTGAAATAACAAAGGATATGTGTGTAATAACTGTTAAGTCTTGCATATAACATCTGTCCAAACGAGGTCTTGTCTTTTAGAGCTGTTTCATTTAGAATCAAAACGATCTCACAGTTTAGATCTTCTATAGAACAAAGGACCACTATTTCGCTCTTGTCAAACCTTACAAAAAGACAAACCCGTTGAAAAGGCTATTAAAGTTCTAAAAATACTATCAAATCAATGTAGTAAGCACTTGGTTTAAGTGGAAAAGAACACCGCAAAACACCAATGACCTCATGAAACCTAGACAAGGTGGAAAGTACTGAAAAAAAAATGTCGGAAGTAGTTAAAAATACTGCGATGAACGACAAGAAAATGCATGAAGGACATGTGTCGGTTCTAGAGGAACTAAACTGATTGCTCAAATGATGAATACATTAGTTTTTGAACTGCAAGCGCTTTTTGTGTCAAGACTTTCATAGGACCATGTTT